CATCCATATGCACTTATTCGTGAGAATAGGCGCATCACTATCAAGGAACTTGGAGCAATGCTGTCCATCAGTGTTGGTAGTGTAGAAGACATCGTGAAATATCACCTGCACTATCGCAAGGTGAATGCACGGTGGGTACACACTTTGACGGGCGTGAACAAAATGGTGCGCATGCAAGTTGCCAGTCGTTTCCTACAGCAGTTTGAAGACAAAGGTGATGCATTTTTGAAGTCTACAGTGACCACCGATGAAATGTGGGTGCACTACTTCATTCCCGAGTCCCAGCAATCATCATGCGAGTGGTGGCATACCAGTTCTCCCAAACCCAAGAGAGCGTGGAGGAGCTGTTCGGCAGGAAAAGTGATGGCAACGTTCTTCTGGGACTGGCAGGGGGTTATCCATGTAGACTTTCTGACAGATGCCAGAACAGTCAATGCAGCTTATTACTCAGACCTCCTGGCAACAGACGTGAAGGAAAAGATCCGATCCAAGCGGAAGAGAGGTGGAAAGCGGGTAGCCTTCCTTCAAGACAATGCATGCCCCCATACGGCCAAAACAACAATGGAAACCCTCTGGAAATTGAAATGGAACCTTCTGACACATCTGCCGTACAGTCCCAATTTGGCACCAAGTGATTTCTACCTGTTCGGAAGGCTCAAATCAGACTTGCAAGGCATGCGGTTTGTGGATGACGCCATCATCCAGAATGTTCGGGAGTGGATACGCCGCCAACCACAAGACTTTTTTGAAAAGAGCATCAGGATGCTTCCAGAACATTGGAAAAAATGTGTTGACTGCGGAGGGGAGGACGTTGAAGACTGACATGTGCAAGTAAGTACTTGGCAATTTTGGTTTAAAAAGAAAAATCAGTCCCAGTCATATTTGAACCACCTTGTATTTGTAACTATAAGGGTCAATGCATTCTCCTCTGTCTTGCTCTTGAGGTCACATCATTTTCATATGAACTGAGAACTTTTCACATTTCTCATAATGCTAAACAAATTCATTTAGCCTGCTTGTGGATGGCAGTCAATAAATCATTGTTGAAGTGGACATTACCAAATGGATGTGGATAACATCATGTTTGTCTGTACCAAACTATATGTCTGAGTGAATTGGGTAGGATGTAACAAGTTGGAATATGGCACAGCAACATACAAGTCTGATACCAAAAGAGCTGCAAGATGGGCTACTTGGCTACAATGTTTGTCCTCTTACCTAGTAAAAACTGTAATTCCACATACTGTTTTCCAAATTCAGGAAATTTTCTTTAGCAAGTCAGGGTATATGAAACCAAATTCAGTAATCACAAATGTCCCAGAAACAGAGTGATTTCTGCTGATCCATCTCAGGAAGTAACAAAGAAATAGAAGTTTGGGATTATATCATGTACTGTGATAATTTAAATTGTGTTACTAATGTTTTATGTCCCTTTCATTCATTATCTAAAAGGCTAAACTATTGCACTTACCTGGAATATTTACTGCATAACTTTTATCCCACTACTATCTCTGAAACCCAAAATCGCAGTCAATGATATTTGTGCTACCACGTTAAAGATAAACTGCAGAGATAGGTTACCCATGCCAGCTGCTCACCCAGCTAGCAAGGTTGTTATCGAGTGAGGCAATGGAGGTCATTATAATTGGTTGCAGTGGTGGTTTTCAAAAGGTGCCGCTGTTCTTTGGTGATTATACAAAAAAATATTTCACTTAAAAGCCATAAGAAATTCCATAAAATAAAGAAGTACAATGCGAAGTTCCTATCTGATCTGAAATAATTAATACATACCTTCTCCTCAGCCACAATGCACAAAGACTCGAGGTCCACACACCGGGAATCTTTTATACACTTTTCTAGCAGACGATTAAGCTGCACAGCCAATTCAGATTGCAAACCAACTTCAAAATGTGGAGATCCCATGGGACTTAACTCTGTGTTGAGGAAGAGCATGCCTTCATTAGGACGAGTAGTCTTGGGCTTCTGCACCTCGCATGAAACCTGTGCTAACACTCTGAGGAAAGTGATTCATGTCATACCAGTCTGTGCCAGTCTTGAGAATACCAAAACAATTTATTTCCCTTCAAAAAAAAAGTATGGTGATATATACATAGGCAAGTACTCGCCACAAGTACTAGCTCAGATCACAGAGCGTGTATACAGTTTTACTTGACATAGTACCAGTACATGTGACATGCATCTTGATAAGATTCCCAGGTTATGGCTTTACTGCAGATCACAGTTGTGTCATAAGATTAGTCACAGCTTCTGAGTTTTCTTCAAAATGCTGAATTTGTTCATCATAGTAATCAGCATCATCATAACCTAACGCATCAAACAAAATTTTATTAATTTTTCCCAAACAGCTGAGGGCTCCTCTATGCTTACATGGATATGTATGGCTACGTCCAATTAACCCTTGTAACAATTTCTTACTCCCTCTCATCTGAATTAATATATTTTTGAATACTGCATTAAAATGACTACAATCTGTCCAGTTTTGGATTTCAGTTGTATGATACAACTGCTTTACATGGCCAATACACTGGCCTAATTGATCAGTTTCACTGTCAGTCTATCTTAGGCTGATCTACACAACCACTTTCCACTCAGTGTTTCACAAAGTAGTTTCTCCCAATGTTCGTATTTATCAGTAGCCTATCCTAGTCTGTCAGATGAAGACTGTGATTCAGTATCTGATATAAAAACTTGAGCCGTACTGCTAATATCCACATTCATCCAGACAGCATTTGTAAATGAACTAGCTCTACTATTTCTCTTTTCTATAGAATGGTTTTACAGGACCTGCATTACTTTCAGGATGAAACAGGGTAGTCTACAGTTTATCATCAACATTTTGGAAGTATTGTTGAAAAAGTTACTCAAAAATTTTGATCCTTGATCTGTCAAAATCCTTCCAGATCATAATTCTAGAACAATGTGCATCATGAAATCTCTTGCTACCATATCTCTCTTGTCTTGGTATGGGGAATGCTACTAAAAATTTGTTTAGTTCATCCTGAAAGGTTAACATGTATTCCTTTCCATTCTGCATTTTGGTAAACGGTCCTACTATATCTAAAAGAATTTTTCAAATGGTTGGTTCACAGTAGCTGTAATTCAGTATACTGATGTTGCTGAACAATATTGCTGATGATACAAGTAACATACATGGTGTTGGAACCAGCACAGAGTTAAAGTTACAGTAAATGGAATATCAGTCACAGTTTATATGTAGAGTTGATATGAATTATAAAGTACTTACTTTGTTTCACCTAAAGAAACCTGACAGCAGCCCCAGTCAGTTCCAAAGTAAATTCGCATCACTCTGCTTTCATCCATCTCACGCCCATCTAAGCGCTGAACAACATAAGTACAAATTTTAAGTTAAAGGTATATCACATCAATTGAATCTCTGCTACTTCACAATTATATGAGATACTGTCCATTGTCTTAAGTATTCTTGATACTGATACACACTGAACTGGCATATATTTAAAATAAAGTGTGCCAGTTACATGAATCTACTGGTTCCACTATAACATATTTCTGCTTTATTATGTAAGGGGTCTTTCCGGAAAACACAGGAGACAACCACCCTTTACGGACTACTTGAGCGATGATAACTTACAGTGCATCCAGGGATGGCTGGGACAATTGATGTGTGGTGAGTGAATACGTGTCCACTGCAAATCTGTTTTTGAGTAACTATACAAATTGTAAATTGTCTTTGAAACGCTTGCCAGTTGAATGAGAATTCTGGACGCCAGAATACCGGTTAACTGGGAGTTGATTGTATCTCAGAAGCTGCTTGCATTTCTCTATGACATGAAGCCGTATGGAGAAGTGGATGTATAGATCCAAATTTTCTTGACCTTGGCACTAGTTTGACGTGGGTGGTCAGCTTTACCCCCTGGAAAGGAGCACCCAGTACCCATTGGATTGGTTCAATGGACCCCAAAGATGGTCCGGACAATATGGAGAAATGAAAATTCTAGACACCACCGGGACTCAAACTCCGACCCCTCAGTTGTCAGCCAGTAGCCAATCGCTATATTGACTGCGTTATCCCAACTCACTAATATATTTAATTCATCTGGTTAAACTGAAAAATACTGTTTGGGACTCCCATCTAGATGACATTTTATCTCATATTTCACGCCAACAAGGGGCTGTAACATGAAATCCTTTTTTCAACACAGCCTGATCCTTCCATCTTTCCTACATGACCCAACCACAGCCCGATTCTAGTAATTTCAACCCTGAAAATGGAGCAGGCTGCACATCCCTCCAAAACGTTGGTAACCACATCCACACAACTAATGACGAAATTAAAATTTTCTAAATGGCAAATTACTAGGCTCCTCTCTTTAGTGTTTTACCTGAAAACGGGGGCATTGTCTAAGAAACACTGCATTTTTTTAGAATATTTATATTTTAATCAGACAATGTATACGTCCAAACAAGGACCCTCAATACGCACTGTAATGTTGGTAAAGGGAATAACCTAAATCTTACTTTTCCTTCCGCAATAGCATCCGTTATAAATGATTTCTCACACGTAGATAACATACTTTCTTTCATACTGAACAATAATTAATTAATTCTTCAGATAACTCTACGTTTATTAAATGAATTTTCTTAAGCGAATTTTATTTTTAAAAAATGTGTGACTTTCTCTCTTCAGACATTAATCAAATTTGAATCACGCATTACTAAACTACATATGCTACAAAACACAGGGCAGCCCCGCGAAACTCCTATGTTATTGGTTGGCAAAATGGCCGCCATGACACCTCTATGAAACGCTGCTGCCATCTATGTTCACCTTACATGACTAAATTAAAAATGACCTCCAGGGCCAAGGNTGGGGAGGCGAGGACTGCATATAAGATATTAGTGGGAACGCCAGAAGGAGAGAGACTACTGGGAAGACGAAGGTGTAGGTGGGTGGACAATATTAAAATGTATCCTAGTGAGATAGGATGATATAGATTGGATTGACTGATCTGGCTCAGGATAGGGACCAGTGGAGGGCTCTTGTGAACATAGTAATGAACCTTCGGGTTCTACAAAAGACTGGAAAATTCTTGAGTGGTTGCACAATTGACAGTTTCTCAAGAAGGGCTCAGCTCCATAAGTAAGTTTAATGTCACTTCACCCTTATCATTTGGGTTGGATCTGAGTGAAGTTCTATTAAACTTTGTCCCCAACCCTTTCCAAAAAAAAAGTAACAGCGGAATAAGAGCCTCTGCAGCTCTGGAGTACAAGAAATTAGGTTGCAAATTAATTATCTGGAGAAAGTTTGTCACCAGGCCTGGAAAGTCATAACCTTTCTTTCGCATGAAACACGTCTTTAACCAAAAGCACTGAACATCGTGACCTGTAACATACATGGAATACTTGTAATTAGGAAAGCTGAAGGTGGGAAGACTTGAAAGAAAATTCTGTTTCAATCAGAGATACATATATTAAGCCTCATAATTTCCTCATAACTTACACTTGAAAGCCACAAAGAACACAGTTTTCCGGTTACGTTTACGTATTATAAATCATATATTGTAAGAAACAATACTCATGTTCCCATTTATTATTTTAATTAGAATGATGGAATTCGAGAATGTGAAATACACCCGACAACCAGATTAAGACTTTAATTGTTTCTTGCATCCTGTTGTGTATTTAATCAATATTAGAGTTAATTTCACCGACCACACAACACGTTTTTACTATTGTCACACTATATATTTCGACCTCAAGAGGTCATCCTCAAGTGTACAAACACAGTTGCACAATCACACGCAATCACATTCGGTTTTCCATTTATTTCGATCCTGTATCCTGTTCAGGTCCACGCTCAATAATGTATGTCAAGTTCTTCTTATAAAATACAAGTTAAAAATACAAATGTTAAAAGTTAAAATTTAAAATTTAGTTCACTTTAACTAGTTATATTATTACCACCTGGTTAAAAAGTTCATGAATTAAATTTCAACTTATCATATTGGCTGCACTTTTACTTTTTAAGGTCTTGTTGTTCTTCCGCGTCCTCTGATGCTGGTTCTATTACGTTCCTTGTCATGATGGTTACTGATTGTCTTGTTTGTTCGGTTGGTTCCTGTAGGGTATTAGTGGGGGGGGGTGCGGGTAGGGGTGGTATTCTGAGAAGATAAGTAGGTGGTTTTGGGATATATTGTATTTCTTGCGTTTGATTTGCTTTTATTGGGATATCATAAATTGGGTAGTAACTATCACTTAAAGCTTCGTTCATTTGTAGATTTTGCTTAGTTAATTCATATATGTGGAAGCTTTCTAGTGTGTTCAACATCTTTCCTTTCTTTTCTATGTGGAGTATTTCCATTGCTTTGTCTATAGTGTGATAATTATGCGTTGTGTCCAATATATGTTGGGCGAATTTTGATTTCTGCCCATTCGTTTTTATTTCCCTGATGTGTTCTTTGTATCTTGTTCTGAAGTTATATCCTGTTTGGCTGACGTATTTTAGGTCACAATCTTTACACGTCATCAGGTATACTCCACAATGGTTGTATTTATCCATCGTTTCATGTTTTGTTCTTAGAAGCTTTAAAAGCTATTTTTATGTTGGTATTACGAAATAGCTTATTGATCCTTCTAACCTGGGGCCGAAGTATGTAAAATTTGGTCCATTTTTTCTTCTGTGGTGTGTTGTTGTTAGGTGGTTAGGTCTTCCTCTCTGTGGCCTTCTAAGGATCAGACCATGTGACGTTCAGAAATTAATAAAATCACTGAAAATAAAAAAGGCCTGTGGAATTGACGGCACCCCAAATGAATGCCTCAGGCACCTTCCAAAGCGACCATTGGTTCACCTAACTCATTTATTCAATCACTGTTTTCGGCTCTCTCACTTTCCAAATACTTGGAAGGAAGCAAAAATAATAACTTTACGTAAACCGGGTAAAGACCCGAAATTTCCTCAAAATTTACGTCCGATCAGCTTCCTGTCTAGGACAGGAAAACTATTCGAAAAAGTAATTTTGAAATTCCTCCGTAAACATATTGAAGAAAGAGGCATACTCAACGCAAGTCAGTTTGGTCACGTCACAGCACGACATTGCAATGTATGAGGCTGGCGAACCACGTGACCCTTAATTTCAACAATAAAATGTCTACAGCTGCAGTGTTCTTGGACATCGAAAAGCCTTTGATACCACGTGGCACTCAGGCTTGCTGTATAAGTTATGAAAATTGGAGTTCTCTAACTCTTTGACCAAGCTTATTGGGTCCTTTCTTTCTAAACGTAAATTCAGGGTCTCTGTTGAAGGCGAAATGTCAACGCCAAGGGAAATGCAAGTAGGGATGCCACAAGGTTCGGTCTATTCCCCTACTCTTTCCAACATGTATATTAATGATGCCCCCCAAACTCTGGGGCTCGACACCAAGACAGACTGACTGACCGTCAGTTGTAACATGACCTTGACCTTGACCTTGAACTCGCTTCCACACCATTACGCGCGCTAGCCAACCCTCGCTCCTCAAATTCAAGTTTCGCTCCGCCCACCGAGCATCGTATAAAAGGCGGAGCACAAGCTCGCAAGTCATCAGTTCTCTATCAGATCATCAGCAGTCTTCAAGGAGTCTACAAGCAATCGGCACACTTCGTCGCCAGCGCTCGGTCTACGGAGGCATCGGCGCTTCGCTGCGCCAGGCATGACTGCCACGGCTGTCCGGCGGTCGCACCCGACTCACTGGGCAACCAGGCCGCCTCGATTCACCGGTAGTCATGTCCGACACACTGGGCAACTGGCGTAGCTACCGCCTCTCCGCTCCAGCGACCGTGCTCGTCGACCAGACTTTCACCAGCAGCTGCCGCGCTGCGATCAAGCAACCTCTAACATCTGCCGCACTGCGGCCAGTCCACACACCGCAACCAACATCCCTTCCTACCGGCGCGCGCCGCGCTACTTCACCGGTCAAACATCTCAGCAACCAACGGTCCTTTTCAGGACCTACAACTGTTCCGAAGAAGTGGGTTGTCATTCAAGTAACGACAAGACGAAAAAAACCCCACACTACTTTCGGCAGAGAGAAGCAGATAGATAGACAGACAGACAGATATTGTCAGTGTCAAATGTTTTCTTCAAATCACAGAAAATGCTGATGAACACTATTGGTATTGATGTTGTCCAGCTGTTGTTCGAAATTAATTATTAAAAGAATTTGTAAACACATCATGATTATTGGTTAACTTCCCATCAATGTTTAAAAACTGACCTGCATTACTATTTTTTTACTTGTTACTGATTTTATAATGCTCCAGGTGGTTTTCATTTTGTTACTAGAATTAGAAATTAATTGATTATAATGAAGATTTCTAGCTCCTTTAATAACACTCGCCAAAATATTACAGTATGTTTTATAATAATATTTCAGATCTGGCTCATACCGTTCTGAATCTCTGGGAAAATTGAAGAATCTCAATCCAGTTTCTTCACTGGAAGACGTGCATGCTTCGGCAGAACAATTTTTTTCTTCCCATCTATACTTCAAGAAACAATACAAAAATTATAACACAATCAAAGTACACTCTCACTTTCTTGAGATTATACGGTCCTTCTTTAGGCTACACCAAAAGATGCTTAAAATACAGAAATACGATTTGGATGAAGTATCGTAGTAACACTGACTTCATGTTGTTTTTAACTTCACTGGGCGTAGTACGCATAATCCATACACATAAGTAACACACAGATGTAAATTCATGCGTAAATGTCGACTCTCGTTTCACAACATCAAATCAAAGTTCCTACTTACTAATTAATCTAATTAGTTGCACAACATACCTCAACGGCGTACACACATTTTCAGAAACTACGCAGTATTACTGAAACAACCGCCCAAAGCCTTCAACCGAAATTTAAGATCCTCTGATTGGCTGACACTTATGCGATTCGATTATTTGCGATAGGTGTATTATGCCCGATTCCAGTTATTTCCAGACTATCTAGTTCTTGTAGCTGAACATAGATGGCTGGTCTGCATGTTTCTCGCTCCCTTTTGTGAGTTAAACCCCTCTGATTAAGACTAACATTTTGATACACAAGGGCGTTTGATACATATTCACACACGCAACCATAGTAACACAAACAATAGAGAAATTAGGAACAGCGTATGTAGCGCAGTCTATTATTGAAATTTTTTTACTNTTGCAAGAACGAACGTTTCCACGAAGCAAATGACGCGTGTTGTGTGTGTAAACACTGTGATAAAAAGTGCAGTAGATACCATATTACCATATGCAAAAACTTAACCACATCAATAACCTAATACAGTCGCGAATAAAAAAACACAAAACAATTACTCTATACACATTGTGCGCATTCCCTTATTATTCGATTGAACAGTAATTCTTACGATTCTTAACACTGGTACCACGGGTCCCACGGGTACCACTGTACCGTTGTACTGGATGTAATGCGTTATTAGGTTGGTGGTGCTATCGGCAGTGTGTTACGGGAGGAGAACTGCAGAGAATCGACGTAATAAAAATGCCACAAGGACAAAGGAAAGTTCCTTTCAGTGGGAAGGCAAAAAAGGCACAGCTTCAATCCAAGAAACAGCAAAAGAAACTGCTAGAAGGATCTGGTGAAAATGGTTAGTTTTGTACGTTTTGACTTCGGATTCTGTGCAATCATAAAAAAGGGAGATGCTACAATAGGTCACGATCTGATTGTGCTCTCAAATTAATATTCTAGAAGCCAGCGATATA